GGCAGCGGCGGCAGCGGCGGCTTCCAGCACTGGGGCGGCATGCCCTGCCCGTGCAACATGTGTCAGGTGCCGCCGCCGCACCACCACGTGTCGGCCATGGGCGCGGGCAGCCTGCCGCGCCTCACCTCCGACGCCAAGTGAGCCGGCCGCGCCGCGCGTTCTGGCGAGCAGGCTGGCCCGGTGGCCGCGAGGAAGCGAGGACTGCCCGGCGCTGGGCTCAGGAGTTCTGTAAAGAGGAGGGCTGCGGGTCCGCGGGGTGTGGGTGTGGGTTGATGGGGACTCCAGCCCCAGGAGCTGAGTCGCGGGAACGCACAGAGCAATGGGGAGTGAGAGGCGCACCCTCTCCAGGACCTTGTGAGCCCCCCGGCTTTGCACCGCGCTGGTCCGGTGGACACTGAAAAAGGCACCGTCATCTGCACCCTACCCTGGAATTCCTCTTGCCCGCCCCCAGGAAAAGAGTTGAAAACTTGCGGTTTCCCGAGAACAGGACTTGCCTCCCGGACTCGGGCAGCGCTTCGTGGAGGGTGGCGGGTGGGGGGACACGTTAGGACTTCCTCTCCTTCCTCCCTTCTAGGCGGGTGAGAGACTCCTGGCCCTGCAGAAGCGACCTCTGGCCGTGGAAGGTCATCGCTGGCCAGGGGCCAGGGGCGATGAGTTATTTGCAAGTTGGCGTTGGTAGTACCTAAAGCACTTACGGTCGTGTGGGATTTCCAGATCTCTGTATCTGGGTACACCCGCACCACCTCAGAACTCTGGCGGCACCTCCCGGCCTCTCCTGTTGATTGGGGGGTTTGTTGTTTTCCAATAAACCTGTGGATGTTTCTTTTTCAACAGTATGAGCAAGCTTTATGGCCGCTCAGAATAGAACCACTTGTGGAATGGAATAATCGAAAACTGCCGATACGGAGGCGGAAGCGGGTGTTTTTAGGTATTATTTTAATATAGAAACTACCTTTTCCCTTCTTCCCGTCAGGAGCACAAAGTTGATCTTTTTCTTACTCGTTTGGAAGCGGTCATTTCGTTATTTGACAGAACTAGAAGGAAGTTGATGTGAACATAGTTCGAGGGTTCTGTTGGCTTTTTAATAATCCTTGCTGGATGTGTAAATATCATATCAAGGATGAGGTAAGTGTGCGGTGCTGAGCCGTTTGCTCACGTGACGACTGCCAGCCCCATCGGAGTGTGAGCTGGGTTTCTCTCGGGTTTCTTTTTGCCACAATTAACACAAATGGCAAATTCTTCCGCCTGCTCCCCGCGTCTTTGCAAGCCGCCAAGCGCTGAGTGCGCTGCAGTCGGCTTCACGGCTTCGGCTGCGGAACATCCCTCCTCGGATTGCGCTATCCCTCGCAGAGAGTGTATCATCTGTTTTATTTTTGTAAAAAAAAGAAAAGTGCTAAATAATATTTATTACTTGTTTGGTTGCAAAAAAGGAAATAAATGATCAAGTGTTGAGATTTTAAATAAAATGTAAAGGAAGTTGAGCATTTTTTTCATCCGCGTGAGTGGATGGTGAAGGATGCGATTCCTGGGGGCAGGATTTGAGGATCATTTTTATGGTTTTGCCCAGGAGAAAGCGTAAGGGGGTTATTTATCCGTCCGCTCCACCTTTCTTCCCCATTCTCTTCAGACCGCTCTCTAAGCACTTCTGCCGGTGGGTGTTTTATCAGTTTGCTCCTCCTTGCTTTTATTTTTCAGCATCTGGTTGGAAACTTGCTTTCCTTTAGTGAAGACTGAACTCTGATCGAAGGTTGAAAACATCCTTTCTGGAATGTTGCTAGTTGGCTCTTCGGTTGGGGGTCTGGGTGCTGGGAATCCTCTTGGCCTGGATTGGGTCTCCCCTCTGCTTACTTCGGGGTGGACTTGCTTCGCTTTTGCTAGGAGCCAGACGCTGGGGCCTTGAGTGCCATAGAGATGCTACACTGGGTGCAAAGGGTTGCGGGAATATTTGATGAGGGACCCAGGAACTCTTCTATCGTTTCTCTGGGCTTTCTACAAACTCCTCCCAGCATCCACCCTCCCATGAACTGCGAAGTGCCAGGTACTGGGGACCCTTGGGAAGTCGTGAATTCTCCAATGTAGATGCAACACTTTGGCCTTTCCTGGGCCCTCGGTCTCCTGGCAGCCCCTGGATCCCTCACCACCCAGAACTGCAATGCAAATTCAGGATACGGGTCTTAAGGAAGATTCTGAGTAGAAGGAACAAAAAGCTTCAGGTGTCCCAATCAAGGGCAAGGACTGCTGCTGCTACAGGCTCTCAGCCCAAGAGCTGGCCCAAGAACGCACCCCCTGAAAGGGCAGCCTGGCATGGCTCTGTAGACTGGTTTCCTGGTCCTGCCATGTACATCTCTAGCAGCCACCAGCAGAAGATTCTGGAACTTCGGATGAAGTTCTCATATTGAAACCCCATTTACAGAGTCCAGGCCCTGAGCCCACATAAAGTGTCTCTAGCACAGGCCTGAGGGTATCAGTGCCCTACCTCAGGGACTGCACTGCCCATAACTTCAGTCACCCAGAGATCGGATGCTGTTGCCCAAGCTTTACACCGAGGCTTCACTTTTCACCAAAGGCTAGGAAGGATTTGGAAAGGCAGAGCAGCTGGCAGCGCAGGGGAGAGTGGAGGAGCCCAGAGACGCAGAGGCAGATGGAACGCAAGAAAGGACAGGATGGGGCCCAGTTGTGTTTATTCCAAAATCCCATTTGAAACGTAGGTAACTTGCGCAGAGTTCAAAACCAGGTCCAGCTCCAGCTGCAGACACTGTACAGAAGAGTGTGGGGAGGCTGGAAATCCTACCAGTGGAACTAAGAACTCCCGGGTGGGGATGGGGGCATGGCTGCTGCGGTGGCTTCATCTCCACAACAAGGCACGGCTTGTGCCTGAGCAGACTCGGGTGTGCAGGGCATGCGCAGAGCATAGGACAGTTGTTGAAAGGAAATGCATCAGTTCTTCCCCTGCATGTGCGAAGTTTCCAGCAAGTTTGCAGCCACCAGCCAAGCTCAACCACAGCCAAAGGAGGGATTGTGTCCAGACTCCCCACCACCACCCCAGCAATCTGCTTAAACTGTGCGCAGCCCAGCCGGCCTGGCTCCACTATGAGACCCGGGTACCCCGGGCACCACGGACATGCACTGTGCACTGCAGGGCAGATGGTTCCTTCTGCAGGGTGCCTTTGATCTGTGAGGACGGGGATGGAGAACTCAGGCCAGCAGCTTCACTTCCATGAGCGGTGAAAGAAGATTTCAAAATTACCTTGACTTGGGTGGGCCATTAGTTGGGGGCAAGCTCCCCCACTAAAAGAAGGGGAGGGAAAGGGAGGCAGGAAGGAAACTGTCAGCAGCAAGGTGCTTTCTGCCTGGCACTGACAGTTAATGTTTGTTCCCCAGGAAGCACTAGTTAGGAGATTTTTTTCCAGTGCTGAGTTCCACTTCCTGTGCAGGCCCAGGACTCTGCTCGCTCCTGCCTCTGTCCTCGCTACTCTCTCAGAGGAGCAAGAGTCTCAGGAAAAGTGATTCCCCTGGACTTAGTGTGGGAGGACTCCCTACAGGGTTGGGTACCTCTGATGCCCGCAGAACTGAAATTCTCCATCCCAGGGACAGGAAGCAGAGGGGTGAAACAAACCTGAGACGCAGAGGTGCCTAGCCAGGCCCTGGACTGTGAGGTGGCTGCAGGATGAAGCCAGGCCAAGGACACCTGCGGTGATCTGGGGCTCCTGCAGCCACCCATGCAGGACCAGCCCTTCTCTGTCCCAGACTGGAACTAGTGCAGAGTTCACAGGCACATACTAAAGTCTTCGTATGTTCTCACTGATAAACCTCCCCAGCGGTACTGGAGAACCATTCCTGTTAGAGCAGAATCCACCCAGTGGACTGAACTCCCTCTGCTAGGAAACACCTGGATGCTGCCTGGAATACCCCAAGGCTGAGACCCCCCCATGCAGCCATCTCTCACCTTAACTCCCCATTACTGCCCATCTTGTGCCAAGTCTCCCTCTGCCATGCAGTACAAGTAGGGGCCTGGGGTCTTCAACAAAGGTGCTACACGAAGAGTTTCAAGACACCTCAGAGGCGACACACATCCCCCACCCCACCCCCATGCCCCACCCCCAGCTCTGCAGACCTGTGAGGATACCAGAATCAGGCCTGGCTGTTCACAGAGGAAGAGCTCATGCCCACGCTCTCTGGGGACGGGGACCCTGAGCAGCAGGAGTTAGCAAGGCCACAGTTTAGAAGCTACCAGTAGCCTGTCAGAGTGGGGGGGCTATGCTAGGCATGGAGATCACTGAACCAATACGCGCGTGCGCATGCACACACACACACACACACTTCCCATTTCTCACCTAGTGGCTGAGTTATTGCTACATGGTTGCAGGGTTATGGGGGAGGAGTGTAGTAAGAAGCAAATGCAGCAGAGCTGGGAGGAGGGACCCCCACCACCCCAGTTCTGGATCTCAGTGAGGAGCCTCGGGGAGGAATCGGCCAACATTTACTGAAGGTTAGTGAGTGTGAGGCACGGCACCAAGTTAGATGTCAACTCATTGAATTCTCACAGCAACTTTTTAGGTGTTACTATGATCCCATTCTACAGGTGAAGAAACTGAGGTACAAAGATGGCTCAGGAGCAGGGCCAGAAAATGGAGGCAACAAGGTTGTGGTGCAGGAGTCGGCTCCAGAGCCCATATCCAATAGGTCAGCCCACGCCTAGGCCCCCACTGGGACCCCAGCAGCCTCTACACTGGCTTAGCTGCCCACTGGGGAATTCTCGCATCTGGCGCTGCTGCCTCCACCCCACAACCCCGCCAGCTTTCAGGGACGCTGTCAGCGCTCCCCCTCGGTGCCTGGACCCCATCTGTCCCCACGCCCCCATCTGGGTGGCAGCCGGTGCCCACAGGCTTTGGCAATTAGCGGGCTCGCACGGAGCTCTGCGCGGGTGGAGGAAAGGCGCGAGCAGGTGAGCCGCGGCGGCGCTCGTTAGGGACCCTCTCTACCGCCCGGACAGCTGCGATCCCTCCACCGCCAGACTCTCCTAATCGCACCTCCCAGCCTGCGGTGCATTCCGCATCTCAGGAGTCCTTCGGAAGGCGTCCAAATTGAACCTCCTGCAGCAACCGGATGGATATCTGCGCCACCCGGACCTGCACCGTGCGCGAAGCGAGGACTCCAGCGCGAGCTCCTGGGCGCCGCTTTACAATGCGTCGAGGCCCCCGCAAATGAGCCAGCAGATTCAATGTGCCCACGGACTTTCGACCACCAGGTCCCTAAATCCTCCCTTCGTCCACCAGGACCACCAGGTAGGGATATGGGTTTGGAGGCCCTGTCTTTATTGGGTTCCCTAAGCTGCCACTTCACGAGCTCTGGGGGAAGCTGCTTGGGAGACGCCTCTGAAGTGTGCGCAGGTGTCCTTTTGGTCCCTTGCTTCCTGGGTTTCGCAGGGTGAAGCCAAGGGGGCTATGGAGGGGAGACCCTGACTCCGTAGTAGTTTGGCCAGCAAAGACCCAGGTGGCAGGATGGAGCTGGTGTCTTGGACCAAAGGGCTCCTTTGGCAAGACTGGAAGGCTGTGTGGCTTTGGGTCCACGGGTTGGGAGGAGGGTACAGCCTTGCAATCGAACCTGCAGAGCTTTTACATCCCTTCCGGGGCCAAATAGCTGCCTTCAGGAGAACAGAGGCCCAGACTCTGAGGGGGACATGAACTCCTGTCCACCCACCCTAGTCCATGCGCAGGATCCTGCACCACGCTCACAGGCCCAAATTTGCACTCTCAGCCCACCCACACTCAGCTTGCAGAAGTCCATGGCTGTGGGCAGCTGGGATCACCCTAAGAGCTGGGAATGTGTTCCATTTCTAACCTTGCAGTCATCCCAGACCAGCTGGGCTCAGAGCGCTCCTCTTAGTGGCCAAAGACACAGGGAAGCTGTCATAAGCAAGCCTTCCACTTTCACCCTCAAGTCTCCCTGGCAGCAGACTCTTGTCTGGGAAACAGGGCTGGAATGGCCTTTCCAAAGCTTTGTGATGTTAGATCTAAGCCTCAGTTTTCTCTACTGTACAATGGAGTCAGTTAGGTGATCTCCAGTGCACCCTGGGTAAATCAGACTCTGCCTAGAATATCAGGGCCACCTGGTCTACCTGGGGACAGAAGTCCTGGGAGCCACTAGCCGGCAGGAGGGCACAATGCATGAGAATAGTGCTGGGTATAACCTTTGTACACTACTGGAACCCAGCAGCCTCCCTTGAAGCATTTATAGACGGATCTAAGAAGGAGTTTTCTCGGGTTGTAAGAATTCCCCAGAGTAGAAACCGGCCTGGATACCTTGTGTTTAGATAGGTACAGTACCTGCTCGATACAAGGGCTCAGAACAGTGAGTGAGTGAATGAATGAAGGAATGGATGATGCAGTGAGAAGCAATGGATGGCTGGGGTAGAGGGGCAGCTGGG